GAGAGCAGAGTTGGGCTCCACCAGGAGCAGGTTTCCATCAATTTGTGGTGCCGCCGATTTTTCCATTCAGAAGAGACTGCACATATGGCGATCTTGCAGCTATGAGACTGCCGGATGATGTCCAAGGACTTGGAAGTTGCGAGGTAAGTCGATGCTAATGTTCCTTAAGAAAACTCATAATGCTTGAGCTATCTAGAGAACGATCATAATAGTGTGATTAGTATCTTTCGAACTCTCCACGAGAAAAATAGTTTCATTCCTTGTAGCTTGGGTTTGTTCTTTGACAATTCATGTCGACTGCATTTCTCGCATACACTGCCCAATTTTCTTGTATTCTTAATCGCTGAAACACAGACAAAAGTGCAGATCCTTGTGCATGTATTGCTGAATTGTTGTTCGTGTGATGTTGGAACAGTATACCATGGACAGAGGAGTGGTTCATGCATGCCATGCTGGTGGAGTGGTGCATCTCCTGGAAGGATGGACTCATCATGAGGTTGGAGCGATCGACGTCGACAGGATCGATCTGGTGTGGAACGCCGCATTGAAACACGGATTGAAGCAGGTGACAACCAGCAAACAATCTCATCCCGTGAAAGTAACTTGATAAGTTGAGGAAGCACTGGTTGGCATTGGCAGGAGCTCCTCCTTTTTCTTTCTTTTAGCTTTTTAATTTGGGCCCTAAAAGAAAGTCATAAGACAACGATATGTCCATTCGTATCAATTTCAACTTCAGCTGCTGTGCCAGATATAAATATCATGAAACCAAGGTTATTTGCGTAAGATCATGTGTTGTTTTCTTTCTTTTTGGTCGGAATCGATTAAAATCAAGTCACCCTCGTGTTCTTGGTTGCAAGTGCGACGGATGAGCGAATGACCGATCTGTGATGATATACCCGTCAAATGACTTAGTTCTATTCATCAGTTGGTCATCTTAATCAGACATAACCCACTTCAAAAGAGAGTTTAGATCCATATCATCAATTCCTTTTGGTTAGAGAAACGGTAAATCTACGCGAAAGCCACAGCTAAAACTCATGCGCTGAGTCTAAATCAAGAACACTTAAATACGTTCATGTAGCTGAATCAGACTTCAGCTCCAATTGCACCATTTCCTGTCATACCCATTAACTCCAAACTAACCCGAAAAGACCATCAAAACTTTGTGGACTCTTTGAAGTGTCTGTCCAATTGAATTCAATGTCAAATCGGATTGGAAGGTCCATCTGTCAAAATAAACTTTGGATGACAGAGTAGCACCCTTAATTCGTTCACAGTTTTAAATAAGAATATGGCATGTCGTGAGAATGTTTGCGCAACTTCGACATTGGGACGTGACTGATGCTATGCCAGCCAACGTGATGTTTATAGGTCTGATAGAGATTGCAAGTGAATCGGATATTATGTTTCTAACATTCGAAAGTGAAGTGACGTTTATTGTCAACCGCTTTTTAAATGTATGCTGACTGTATTTTCGTTGTATATTTTTTTGGTATGTAAAAGGGTTAAAGTCGAATACAAAAATTTAACTTGTAAATTTACTATCCCTATTTTATCACCTAATAAAACATGAAGTAAACCTATAGGAGGTAATATAAAGAAACTAGTATCCAGGCGCTTATCAATTTCAAGTTTAGCAAGTTATCGGCTCCTATCCGAAAGTTATGTTGCACTTTAAATTCAAAGCGAGAGCGCAACAGTTTTCTGATATCTTTAAGAAAAACAGGGCCAGTATTATCAATCATAAGTTATGGACTAACAATATCAGTAATGGCTTTAAAATCAATCTCAATGATGATCTTATGAAAACCAAGTTGTTTGCGAAGTTGATTCCCAACCACAAAACCCAAAATTATGCTTGTGTTGACGAACATATTACTACGAATGCGGTAAAACCACTAAGCTAGTCAAACCCTTCATTTCCAAATAAACCCCATGTACCAGCAAGTCCTAGGTTGCCTTTAGAGCCCCATCAGTATTCAGTTTAATCCATCTGGAAGGTGGAGGATCCCATCTGACTAAAATCGGAGAAGTGCATAATTCATTTAGGGTCTGTTTGGCAACTGACCAAATAGTGAAAATTTCTGTTCTTTTGTTCCCATAATCAATTTTGGAACAGAAATCCCCGTTTGTTAAATTTTTTGATTCTGGGCACAAATTCTTGCAAATTTGTGCCCAGAATCAGTTTTGGAGCAGAAATCAAGAATAAAAAAAAAGTAGCTTCCTGATTCTTGGAACAAAAATGAGAATCAATTTTTTTTTTCTTCTTCTTTTTCTTGGTTTTTAATGTAGCTTCTAATGTCGGCGCGAGGGCCACCCTCGCCGTATCTGGCGAGATTAAAATATTTTAATAAAAAAATGTTATTAATAAAAAATATTATTAATAAAAAAATATTTTACCGGCCATGAACAAAAAAAAATTATTTTACCAGCCATGGCCAGCGACTAGGCCATAAAAAAAATATTATTAATAAAAAAAAATTTTATCGGCCATGGCAAAAAAAAGGAAAAAACCATTTTTATTAAAATATTATTAATAAAAAATATTATTAATAAAAAATGTTAATAAAAAAAATATTTTACCGGCCATGGCCGGCGACCAGGCCATGGCAAAAAAAAATATTTTCAATAAAAATATTTTTTATTAGAATATTTTAATAAAAAATATTATTAATAAAAAAATATTTATAAAAAAAAAATATTTTACCTACCATGGCCAAAAAAAAGGAAAAAATATTATTAATAAAAAAAATTTATCGGCCATGGCCAAAAATAATAAAAAAATTTATTTTTTAATAAAAGTATTATTAATAAAGAAATTTTTTACCGGCCATGGCCAAAAAAATAAAAAAAATGTATTTTTAATAAAAGTATTATTAATTAAAAAATATTTTACCGGCCATGGCCAAGAAGGAGGAGAAGAAAAAAAGAAAAGAAAGAAATATTAAAATATTTAAAATATTATTAATAAAAAGAAATTTTATGCCGTTACCAAACGCATTTCTGTTCTTTTACTATTTCAGGAATAGAAATTTTGGGCTATTACCAAACACCTTCAAATGCTCAGAATCAGTTCCCAGGCACAGAATAAAAAAGAATCATTTCTGACCAGAATCTGTTCCCGGACACATAATGGTTGCCATGCGCAGCCTTAATGTCCAATTATTCACAGACGAAGCTTTAATAATTTCCTTTGTGTATAATCGAATTACTTGTACTGGATTCGAAGGGAAAATAAAGTTGTCCCGGAAAAGTAACTTGTTTCTCCATTGTAAAAAAAGCCACACCCTTACTCCAAAAATTATGCTCTAATCATGATGAAAATTCGATTGCCCTTTATTAGCAAGATTTGAATTCAACCATTGCGACAAATTCATTTATTGTCGTGAGACAAACTCAAGCCATATCTTATGGACAATTGGACAATCCTTTAGAACATGTTAAGTTGTTTCCACATGAGACTCACATCTCAAGCAATATGGATTTCCTCGCAAGTTGCGAGAAGTCTTCAGTTCATTAATCAACAGTCACTTATGAGTGGCTAGCCAAAGGAAAATTCTAATACTTTGAGGTCCCTTCTACTTCCAATTTGTGGACCATATACTATCAGATTCTTAATTGTCTACCCATTGATTACCTTGTACGCTGACTTAACAGAGAAAAACCCGCTTCAGTATCCTTCCACAGAAGAGTACTGTCCCCGTTAGAAGCTAAAGGAGGTTTAGCAGCTCTAATGCAAATGATTATATCTTCTAGTATAATTCCTCGAAATATCCGAAAATCCCAATTTCCGTTTAGCACATAATCGCAAACTTTTATGTCCATCTCGAAAGGAGATAGTTGGGTACTAACAATATCATAGAGCGGCTCCATACTTAGTATCCACCTATCTGTCCAAAATCTAACATGTTTGCCATTTCCCAAACTCCATAGCTCATTCCTATAAGGTCGGCCATACATTCACAATCGCCTTCCATAAAATCGAATCACCAGATTTAGCATGAAAACAAGTTCTCTGTTAGCTATATATAGCAATCACAACTTATGCCCAGAGATTATTAGGCTAGCTTCATCATAAATCTTTGATTAGTCAATTCAAGAGATCTAAAACCAAGACCACCGCATTTTTTTAGCTTGCAGATGGATTCCCAATTTAGGAAGTGAATACGACATTTATCGCTTGTGTCTCTCGTATGAAAGCACGACAATTCTTTTCAATATCTTAATAAACTTGAGTTGAAACTTTAGCCCACTGCATGTGATAGATAGGGTTAGACATAACTGCAAACTGTGATAAAGTAATTCGACATGCCATTGACAAGCTTTCGTATTTCCAACCGTTAAGCCTTTTATCCGTCCTCTTTAATACAGATTGAAAATGCCTCGAAACATCCATGGAATTTCGTAAAGCAACCTTGTTGTGCACAAAAGTTATGATAACGTAAAACATATGACCTTCGTTAATAAATAGATGGTGATATCTATATAATTACAACAATATCTTCCGCGCGAAAATATCAAAATTTAATATTCGCTAATTTATTGTCCCTCGCCCTTCTCCTCTCTCTCTTCGTTACTTTACTATTTAATTATAACTCATTTGTATTTAAGAAATACATTTTATTTTAGCATAATAACATAAATCAAAGGCTTTCCCATATTAGTTAATAGGGAAAATCTTCTATTGTTTATATGCAGTCCAAAGATAGTATCACATCACGATATATATAATACATCGTATTATTATGGTTGCATTTGGTTCGATTTTTTAGGAAAGCCTTCGAGAAAATGCAAAATACTTTAATTTGAAGTGGTTTCACAAAAAATAAAAATTATTTGGTAAAGTATAATTGAAAAGTGTCAAGAAACATCCTGTTGATCTACGAGCCCATCGTCATTGAAAAACCAGAGGACAGCCCAGTTTTTCGGAAGCCGCTTGTTCCTCTCTTCCTCCACGTGTCACTCCAGAAGTTGAAGCGGTTCCCTCTTACCGCCACGTGTCCTCCTCTGCCACAAGCCGAGCACCGCCTAGCGAAAACTGCTTTTGCATGGAGATGGCGAAGCGGTTGTGATGTTTTCGTGTTGGAGCTTCGAAGATGGAGAAGAGAGCGTCGCTGGGAGTTCAAAAGAAGAGACCCACGAAGCGAAGCAAGAGGAGGGGCTTGCTGAGTTATCTCGGGACCGACTCTCACATGTTCGCCCCCTTGATCTCTCGTTCAAGCTCTCATCTTTTCCCGCGAAAGGCTCTGCTTTTTTCTGATACTGGTGAGTGATTCCGTATCCAAGCCATGAAATTGGAACTCCTTTTTTGTAATCTTTATCATAGCTATGGGCTGTTGTTTCTTGTCATTTCTCGAAAGGGGGGAGAGCAAGAGAAGAAAATGAAAGGAGATTGGTGGAGAAAATACGAGAGTACTTGAAGTCCGATTCATACATGTATGCGCCGATAGCAGACACTGAAGAGAGTAAAGACACTGTCGCAGGTACTACAGATGACCCTTTTATGAGTTCCTTCAATAGTAATAGAATCCTTGTTGTTTTGCTTGGGGTGGTATATTCAACTGGGTGCCGGATTCATGAAAGTTCGCTTGGTGCATATTGGTAAGAGGAGATTCACACGGGCGTTGTCATGTCATTAGTCCAAATTCACGATTGGCAATTTGTTTCTTTTGATTTTGGTGCTGAGATTAAGTCGTTCCGTGGTTTGTCGAGCTTTGCTGCTAAAGCAATGCCTTGGAAAGCAGTTGTCAGGCTGCTCAAATTTTGTACCGATGCAATTGGTGCATATCCATGATATGGTTCTGAAGGATGAATTGGCTATGCATAGCGACGTGTGTGTGAATTTGGTACTGTTGCTTTAATTGACAACTGTTGAAACATCTGATCGTGCCTCTTTAGAACAAGATCAAACAGAAGCCTACGTCTCAATGTTAATTAATGAAATGGTGCACATGCAATCCATCCTTATCATGGACTCTGCCATAGTTTGGAGTTTTAATAACTTTGGAAGGATTTTGGGCCCTATAGCTTCTGTATCTTATATGAAGAGCAAGTTGGCTTGATGCCTAGTGCAGTTAAGGTCCATTACACTTTCGATGTGTCTTTGAGCTAGATGTATAAGGTTATCGGGACAGGGCGAGATAGGATTTAAAAGGCATTGGCAGATTTGAACAGGCTCGATTGCGAGATGACATGTTTATGGTTGTGAATGTGCCACGGCCACTGTAGCACGTTATTGAGTATTCGATCATGCCATTGGAGAATGGAGTGTATTGTCAATCTGTGATTGCTAAAACTCCCTTGTGAAATTGGGCTTGTAAAATATGTTACTTTTCATGCGTTCTACCCGACATTTTTGTGCATGTTTGTTCCGAAATTAGCTTATTGGAGTGATTGGCTCAAACTGTCAAGCTGTTGCAACAGTTGAAAGTCCACCGGAATCCTAGAGATGGCATGGAATTTGCTTGCATTCTGATAGCACTGGTTGACATAACTTCTAAAACATGGAGAGCCCTTGTGGAAGAGATGGAGGTCGAGATACTTCAAAGTGGTGGAGTTGACCGAGTGAGAAAACTACAGTGTTAAGTGGGTTAACAAGACATGGCTATAAGAAAGCTGTTAACAAAAGAAATGTCAGGAATGCAATTTGATTGTTGTCATTACATTTTCATTCCTTTTAATTCTTTGCACTTGCTGAGCTTTCAAGCATGATCAGTGTCACCTAATGCCCAGCAAATGTCAACAAATAGCTTTGTCATCGCAGGTCCAATCTGCCAACTTGAGAAGGCATTTGTTGTATTATCAGCTAGGGAAATGACAACGGACGACCATTCGACAAATCAGTCGGCATGTCTAATTGTAGAGAACCACCTCTCCAATGACAACCACCCCGAGATTAGTCTTGCAGGCCATAGTTTAGGACAAAGGGAGACAGTTAAGCACATGGTGTACCAGAACTGCCGCACGTCTATGGTGTCAGGTTGTACCCTGCACCACTTAAATCGAGTCATTTCAGTATTTCTCATATATGAGAGAAGGCTAAATGCTAGAAGCTAGTAACATATCCAATGATTCTTAAATGATTCTTGTTTTATGAAGTGGTTGCAGGGAAACAGAGGCTGAATAAAGAGTCCACGAAAGCTGTCATTGACTGAAGGGCGTCTCAAGAAGACAGAATATCCTAGTTTCCACGCCTCCCACAGTCGGACCACAGAGAATTGGGAAATCTCTCTTCCGTGCGGTGCTTCCGTTTTTGTGTGCCAGGTTACGGGTCTAATGCTTGTGAATTGGGTATGTATGCTTTTTCTGTCTTCTTGAAGTTCCGCAGTATAGCGCAATGGGTACATTTGGTGGCATTCGACTATCATGGTTTATGCAACAAATGTTCTTAATTGAAGTATGTTGAGGTAGTTTTTGGAATGGAACCCCTATTAATAGGCGCGGTTGCTCCTGAAATGTCAAAAGAACTTACGGTAACATGGTTTTGTGATTGCGAGTTTTTTCATCCAACACCGTTCCAACTTTGGTCTGATGTCCGAAGACACATGATGGATGAACATCTCATCAACTAAAATGTTTGCCGGATGCTGGACATTTTCTGTCCTTTTGATCCCCCTTACAAGTTCTTTGTCTTTATCGTCCAAATCAAGAACCAACTTTGGTTGGATGTGATCCGAGTTTTATCTAATTAAGCAAGTCAAAGCAGTCTAAAGATGATTTGGATGCAGATAAATATCAAGAAAGATACCTTGATGAACTAACTGTTTGCAGTGACTCGTTTATTATGCTCCCCTGTCCAATTATTTTATCAGACACAGTCTATGTCCGGTGTACCCCACGAGAACATGCGTCGAAAATGATCGATGTTGGGATGTAGATATTACGGGTCGTGATGATACCACACAGATTGTACCTCGCTAGTGACTGGCTGTCTATGATAATTCACTTATAAAGCTGTCAATGGGTCATGTAATGAAGCAAGGGGGAAGTTAGGAGAATGGTACAGTTTTGAGGCCCCAAATCAAGGACGCACACGTGGCCACTTGTTCCCATACAGGGAAAATTGTTTAACATGTTGTACAGATGTCAATTCAGTCTTAAATTTTTTAATTTTGTCAATTTTGTTCTAAACTTTTGCGTAAAGTTCCAATATCGTTTTTCCGACCAATTTTAACAGAGATTGCTGACGTGATAGTTAGAACGGCCTACAGCAGAAATTGACTGGAAATGATTACATTAGAATTTCGCATAAAGATTTAGAACTAAATTGATAAAATTAAAAAGTTTACGACTGAATTGACATTGAGGGACCGAGGGATGGTTTGATGTCAAAGCTCCATCAATCAAAATCCATGCATGCACGTGCATAGCACTAAATGCGACCCTATCAAATTGCATCTCCTCTCTCTCTCTCCTAACTTCTTTCTAGTAGCCACAAATACGATTCTCAATCGATGCGGATTAATGTCACAATTCGATCTTTAGACCAGGCATCTCATGACAAATGATCGGCGACACCCTCAAACCTTAATGTGGAGCTAAGCTAAGCTAAGCTGTTTCATTGGCTCATTTCGACTGGGGAAAAGACCCCCAATGTCTAGATATGACCCAGGCACGTACCCGTGGACCAGAGCTAGAGTGACAGATTAGTCAAAATTTAATTAGAGGAAGTTAAACCAAGTTTGGACCACGCAGGTTCTAATTTTAGCTGGTACGGTAGTTCTTATGTTTCTAGGTCTTTAGTACATAAAAATATCATAATTATAGGAATAAGTGCACTAAAAATCCTAAAACTTGTCACGAAAATACAATGGAGTCTTAAAACTTTCAAAAAATGCAATGCAGTCTTAAAACTTTCAAAAAGTGCAATCAACGGAAGGAATTGATTGAACTAATTTGATAAGTTTTAGGATTTAATAACACTTTTTGAAAGTTTTAGGACTCAATTGCACTTTCGTGATAATTTTTAGGACTTAATTACGCTTTTTGAAAGTTTTAAAACTCAATTGCATTTTCCTTATGAGTTTTAGGATTTTCAGTATACTTCTCCCATTAACTAGATTATGTGAAGAAAATAACTTTACCTCAAATAGTTTGTTCCAACAAGATATACTATTTAATCTTGTGACATCACATCACCGAAAAGAGTTTGAAGAAAATTTTTTGAAATTGTAATTGACTTTTAAAACTTTTCAATTTGTATAATCGAGTCTTTATAACCATCGTTTTACCAATTGAGTCTATCTAGCCAACTTTTGTCGAAAATTGTTAACGTGGACATCGGCCGTCCTACGTAACACCGGCAGCGTTGACGTGGATAATTTTTGCAATTTTTAAAAAAATCAAAATTATAATTTTTTTAATTTTTTCTTTTCTTTCATTTTCTTTCTCCTTCTTCCTCTGTTGATCGCCATGGCCAGCGACCGACCAAAGGCGAGGGTCACCCTCACCAAACCTAGTGAGGGCTGACCTCGCCGGATTAAGGCGAGGCTAGTGAAGCCGAGTCTCGCTTAAGGCCAACGAGGGTCCACCTTGCCGGATCCGGCGAGGTCAAGCCTCGCACGAGGATCATGACAACCATTGAGGTGGAGCCTCGCCGGAAGCTAGCGAGGTTGGCCCTCACCTTTGGTCGGTCACCGTTCGGAGGAAGAAGGAAAAAGAAAAAAAAAATTTAAAATTTTAAAAAAATTGAATTAAAAAAATTGTAAATATTATTCACGTTAGCGCCAGTCATGCCACATAGGACGGTTAGAGTCGACGTGGCCAAAATTTGCTAGATGAACTCAATTGGCAAAACATAAAAAGTTTAGAACTCAATAAGGACAATTGAAAAATTCGTGACTAAATTGGCACAAGTGTAACAAGTTAATGGCTTTTGTGATAATTTTTATGTACTTTATTTGAGTTGAGAATAGCCCTGGACCCGGAGCTAGCTTTTCTGCAAGCTGGTCTCTACGACTCAACCAATTCTTTTCCCTTTCGCCATATATAAGGATGAGCAGGTGCAATCATGGTTCATCATTTGTCTCTTTCAAAGTATAATGGGCGTTCGTGCTCGACAGCTTGGTCCATTTCCATGCATTAAGCAAGCAACTACCATACGTTTAGCTGACTTCAACAATTTCTTACATCAGAAATAATTGTTGTAAAGAAAAAACACAAGAAGACAAGACCTAGTCAATGACACAGCTTCAGAAGTGTAATCATTATTTTTTATGTATCAATTGATGTCTCTGTAACGGGAAAAATTATCCAAAAAAATCCTAAATCTAGTATACGACAGCCAATTTAGTTCTAAACTTTTTAATTTGGCCAATTTAATCTTAAACCTTTTAACGATTTGTCAATATAGTCTTTCCGGATAATTTTGACCGAAAATTGCTAATGTGGCAGTCCAATCAACGCATGCCATCTTACGTGACATAAGCGGAGCTGATGTGGATGATTTTTGTAATATTTACAAAAAATTGAATATTTTATAAAATTTTTGAGTTCTTTTCGTTTCTTTATTTTCTTTATTTTTCCACTCGAGGCCCAGACGATCGCTGCCAGCCCTTCCGGGATGATGAACAGTGAAAAACAAAAACGAAAAGAAAAGGAAAGGATAAAATTTAAAAAAAAACGTAAAAATTTTTTAAAAAAATCAATAAAAATTTGGAAAATTTGCTCACATTAGTGACGACTATGCCATATAAGATGACTAGCATCCACATCGGCAATTTTCGGCCATTGGAATAACTATATTGAAAAATCATTAAAAATTTTAGGATCAAATTTGTCAAATTAAAAAATTTATGATTGAATTAATCGTCGTACAATAAATTTAGGACTATTTAGATGATAATTCCCTCCGTAATGCATTGTTATGACCAGAATGATTACTCTATCTCATTGTCAGAAAAGTGAGAGGTACTTCCTATCTATAATGGACATCCAATTCAAAACTATTTGTAGAGTGATTCTTAATTGGGGAGGCAATTTAGGGTTTCTATAGTACGTAGTTACATCAAAAGTTGAGAAACTGTTCGCTCCTACAGTTGCCACGTGGCTCTTAAATTTACTTCTGTGATTGCCACGAGTCAAGCCATATCGCATAATTATGTCACATGGCCCATACTCGGCCCATTAGCATTAGTTTAGTCATTTTCATCCTCAAACATTTGTTGTTTATTAAATTTTAATGTAAACTTTGAAAATGGATAAAAATTTATTCAAATTTAATCTTAAAAGTATTCGACCAACAAAATAAATAAAGATAAAAATAAAATATTTTGACATAATTTGGAAAAGATAAGTATAAGTAAAAAAATATTTAAATATATAAATTATCATTTAAGTTGAAATTAAGTCAAAACGAGAGATATATATTATTATGCTAAATTTACTTATAATTTGAAGCATATTTTTGGTTAACACGTGAATAATTGCATTGCTTATCTATCTAATTCAAAATCAAGTTAAAATAATTTGAAGGATAAATTTTTCATTATGTGAACATACTTCACTTAATATGCATTAAACAAAAAAAAAACTACAACAAAAGAATAAAATTTGCAAGTTACTAGAATCATGCGCGTACTTTGCATTTAGTTTATTTTCTTCTTTCAAAATTCACTTATTTATAATTCACTTAATTTTCAATATAGCTTAATTAAAGCAAATTAGTTTGGGAAAAAATTGAAAATTTTATAAAAATCACCTTAATTTGAAATTGAGATTTTTTATGAAAAAAAAATATCAAATAAGAGATAAGTTCAAAAGCTTTCATGCTGCCTTTGGTATGTTTAATAATATGCATTTTCCTTTTTTGATTGTTTAACTTTGCATATTTTTCTATTTTACTAGTTATGCATCGATATAGGTCCAAAATATTCATAGAGTGACAACATCCTAGAGATCTAACAAGTGACTACCACTATGTGCTAACACAAACAAAAATGTCATATCAATTAGGGGTGAGCGGTTCCAGATTCCTTACAGGTTTCCCATGGAACCTGGAACCTACCCTCGGGTACAGGTTCCTCATTTTTTTGAACTTGAAATTTACCCTGTCATAGGTTTCAGGATAAGTTTCAGGGTCTAACAAGTTGTTTTTTTTTTTAATTTCATCAAAATAAAAATGAACGCAACAATACTGAACAAACTTGTCATCCATCAAAGAGAATACAAAAGACTAGTTTTTCTGACATTACAGTTCAAATAAATATAACTAAAATGAGAAGTTATTGCGTGAATTAATACTTGGGGTGAGTAGTTCCATATTCCGCATAAGTTTCACCCATGATAATAGGTTTCTTATTTTTTGGGACTTAGAACCTACCCTATCACAAGTAGGGGTGTCAATGGGTCGGGTTAGGTTTTCATGATACCCGACCTGACCCGAAATATTGGATATGTGTGTTCGACCCAACCCGAAACAAGACCCGAACAAGATATCACCGCACGATCGGGCCGGGCTAGGTCGGGTCGGGCCGTGT